ACATCCTGCTGAAATTCATGCTCCAATAAATATGCCTATCATTCTACCCAAAGTTACTCTAATGTGTGAGCTGAAATCATATAACGAAGAAGACAATGTGAAGGAAAGTCAGAAATCTATAGCAGCTGAGGCAATTCATATTCTTGAACCTTCATTTCCTGGTGAGACTGAGATAGATATTACAAACAAGGTTGATAATGTATTTAAAAATGTAGCACAAATTCCAGACGCTTTATCAGAATACACTGAAACTGAAATGCCTGTTCAAAACTACATGCATACACTTTCTCTTGGGAATCCAGAACCTCCTGCTATTGATAGCCTCTCAATAAGCTCTAAAGATTATGTACCTCGGCAAACCAATGCAGTTACTTCCCAAGACAATAATGCTCCTCAGGAGGCAACATCTAAGGAGTTAGGAAAGAAATTTTTTGGCGATGGCGACAATGGCAAACTGTCTGTAATACATTCATCTGCTGAGAAAGATTTGAAATCTTGTTCTGATTCTCAGGCAAAACTTCAAGAGGATAGCAGTCATTTACATCCAGCTAGGCCAATAATTAAAGCTGACGCACAGTTTAATTTACAAGAAAAGGTAAATACAAGTAAGGCTTTACCTGCTAGTCCTGAATATCCACCAACTGTTTCCAGTGGAGGACAGTGGGCTCAGTCTTTTTATGGTGTACAAGGTACCGCTGATCAAAGTTCTATGCTTCATGGTAATATTCAATTTTCAAACCCTCGACAATGGCAGGCTCATGGACAGATGCAATATCCGTCAGGTGGAAGTAGCCAAGGGGCGTATTTAACTCAGAGCTATATATCTCAGACTCCATATTTACCAAACTCACAAGATGCACAGACTAGCCATTCCCAACTTCAGTATCACCTAGCTGCTTCTCAAGCTTACACAAATCCAGGCCTCTCTTTTCCTGGACAGCATATGCAGCAATTGGCCCCTGCACGTCCACCAGATCAGCAAGTCCAACATGCTTCTTCTCAAAATCAAATTCTAGCATATCAAAATGTGCTGCAAAGTAATGACCAGTATGGTTATCACCAAAGTTATCAAGGATTTTCACCACATATTTGGCAGTATTATCAGAACTTATATTACCTCCAGCAGGAACAGCTGCAACATAGGCAGCACGACCAACAAATGAACAGTTCTTGTAAGCAGCAATTAACTGATCCCTCCGAGGGAAGAAGCACTCAGCAAGAGTTGCTTGAGAACCAGGAAGAGGTACAAGCAGATACCCAAAAACACCATAGAAATATTGATGAAAAGAATACCACAAGGGAGCAAGAAAACCAGCAAGAGAAGCAAGAAGAATCAACCCAACCTAACCAGCAGAGTAGGCAGGTGATGAGTTCTGAACAATCCCAACACTTATATCTTCGACAGCAACAACAATATTACTTTCAGCAGCAGCAGCACTACGAAATGTACCTGCAACAGCAGCATCTACTACAGCAGCAACAACAACATCAGCTCTTACTTTTTCAACAGCAACAACTCCAGGTTCAGCATCAGCATCAACCGAAGCAAATTCAACAGCAGCAGCAATCAATGCATCTGCAACAGCAGCACCAATCACTTTTGCAGCCGCAAGACAATCAGCTACAGTGGCAAAAGAATGCATCGGAACTGAAGGCTATAGAAAGCAATGCGTATGCCCAGGTACTTTGTTTTTTTTCCTCAAGTGGAAATGGCATAGTGAATGTATTTTGATTGTTTAATAGCTTTTCTAATGTTGTTTACGATTTTTCTTAATTTAAGGAATAATTTTCTAGCGAAACCAAATAAAATACATGTACTGTAAAAAACTGGCCCACTTAGTTGCAGTGTATTTTCTTTTATTTCGATTGAAGTTTTGGCACGCCAATTATAACATTTTGATTAAAGAAGTAGATTAGGCATGACTTGTCAGTTATATGTCATGGCATTTATATGGTGCACGTAGGACTGTTTTGTTAGTTATCTTAACTGTTAAATGTTGAAGTTTTCAGATGTAACGCGTTACAATCCGGAGGAAATGAATTAAGTTTTTAAGAGGAGATGAGAGAGAGAATTGTGTGAGTACCTTAGTTTTGAATAAAGTTGAAGAGGACGAACTCTAGGGAGGAAGGCAAAGATGTCAACAACAGGATTGTCCGTGCAACTCGTGAGCTCGAGCAGCAAGCGCAGGCAGCTGAGTTCCTGAATGATGATCGAGTGAGCGCTCTTCCACTCGAATGGTTTAGAATCAGCGATGAACAAAGGCAAATCACGAGCGAGTGAAGGAGAAAGAAGCAGACGGGATTGTGTGTTTGGTTGAAGGCAGCACGCGAAAGGATTGATGACCACATGCGTTTGTGGTTTCACACGATCAGGAAAGAAGCAGATGAAGACAATTTTCTCAAGTTGGCGCTTGCGAAGGCAACGAAGCTCAAAAGTGCATGCATGCTGCTTGTCGACAAGACGGGATCTAGTAGCGATCTTCAGTACAAAAGACAAAATGAATGTGAGCTGGGGCTTGAGTCAATCACGAGTTTGTGTTCAAACGTGATCATGCACGTGTTGATCATGAGATGAAGTTAGCTATGTAGACACATGAATTCTTTCTTTAAGGTATACTTCAGATGTCAATAATGCTTCTTTTTAGAAATATAGATTTCTCTGTAATGGTAGATTTAATTTGAAATAGATATTTTAATAAGTGTTAACATTAGAAAAATTAGTGCTAAGAATAGAATTTAAAAGATTATGAGGGTTGATTAATAAATTATTAATTTGAAGTATAGTATTCTTTTTTTCTTATGTTTGTTTGTAATTTTAAAATTTAAAGTTTCTAATGTTCATTTAAATAAAACAATAAATAAATCATATACTTCACTTAATTAAATGAAAGAAAATAGAATCACATTAATAAACTCATTACCATTTATATAGTTTAGTAAAATAATTTTCAGGAATCACATAAATTTTAAGTTGAACTTTATAGAACTATTTCTTGAATTAATAAATCAAAATAATTCTAGAAATACTAAAGCATTATAATTAAAATGTCATAACAAATATATATTAATAGGGATGTTAGGACTTGTGTATTGCTTAGAATGTGTTAATGTAAAGAATTAAATGTTAAATAAAATTAATTACTATAAGTATTTTCTTTTGGTTTTAAATTAAAGAAGACAAAGTTAGAATAAAAGTCAAGAAGGAAGTCATATGATATCGTGGCGAGTACTCTTATCTCTAAATTGTAGTAGTATTATTAAATTCTTTTAAAAAAAATGCATGAATAATTCCTGATATTGGGTTTATGCAAGTGTAAGTATTTATTTTGATTCATTTATTTTTTAAATCGTATTGGTCATATAAAAGTTTTGATAGGTTTTGTTATTAGAAAAGCTTCTCCATTCGAGCCATAGTAGAGGCAATAGACGCATGGGAAGATTAGAGGGAGAATCACTATAGTGGGTGTTTGAAGCGAAGAAGAAAGAGAGGAGTCAAAGGGGCGACCTAAGGCTCATTGAAAGAGTCGTGCTGTATGAGAGAAGGAATAGGAAGATTTACCTGTGAGGGACGATGCTAAGGGAGGAGAAACTGCAAACAAACAAAGGGGGAAGACGACATACGATTCTTGGTGCATGGATTTTAATAAAAACAAAGTAGATGGGCTCAACTGGACTTGCACTCGTATCGAATGAGCGAGGTGCTCAATTGGTGATTCCAGGGTTGTAGACTGTCGAACTTCTAATTTATTGAAATTTTTTATTTCTTCTCAATCATTTTGCATCAGTAGTTATTGATACTTGTACAAGTTTTATTCTGATTTATATCATATTATCATGAATATCATGTTTGTTGCTACTTACTATCATATATTAATTTATATATATATATATATTTATATATATAAAATTAGTATTGAAGCTTGTATGAGTGGGGAGCTTAAGGGTTGAGGAAGAGCTTGAAGTTTTGAGGAGCTGAAGAGTTCTGCTGTTAACCACCGCCAACCGCCGTCGACCACTACTTGTCGACTGCCACCGATCACTATCGGTCGCCGTCCGTTACTTGCAACAAGTTCATCCGCGCTTCATCGTAATTCAAAAGACTTTGTAACCCTTTTTCGAATATGAGACAAAGAGGTCTCTGTAATAATCAACTTATAGTGGATCTTTACAACTAGGTAGACCTCGTGGTTTTTTCTCTTTACAGGTTTTCCACGTAAAAATTTTTGGTGTCACTATTAATTATTTTCTCTCTTCTGAGTGTGTGTTGAATATTCGTACCACACTAAGATAATGTATCACTCTACTGTCGTGAATTTTCTAACACGCTTTAGTTTGGCGACGTTTGTGGGAATAGAGCATTCCAACCACTAAAATATTTGCATGAATTGTTGCATAGCCACCAGGCGCAACAATGGAGCATCCCACTTCAGCACCTATCATTCTAGAAGATAGTCACGAAGCCAAGGGCATCAAGCTGTTGACCTCAATTTTCGTGAGGTCTAGTATTGTAGTCACGAAGCCAAGGGCATCAAGCCTCTGCATCCTTCTACTCTGGAAGGCATTACCCCGCCGACGAAGGTGTCTTGGGTTCTTTTAAGCGCCGACACAAGCCTCTGCATCCTTCTACTCCGGAAGGCATTACCCCGCCGACGAAGGTGTCTTGGGTCTTCTTAGGGTAGATCGAGTACGTGGGATGGATGAGTCTCAACACGAGATCATTCATCTCCTATGCGGGGAGCGATAACCGTAACCCAATGGAGCTTATCACCATTTCAACATTCAACAAGAAATACCCCACTCACTGGGTTCTCTCCTAATGATGAAACCATTTCGCTGTCGAGACAGGGCGCCAATCTTCTTGACATTACAAGTTCCACTCATCCATCTCATATAGCTCACCTGGCATTGCCCCGTCTTACTATCACTCTTCCTGATATCATCTGTGATGAGCTACGACGCCTGGTTCGGGAAGAATTCTCTCTGGATAAAAGGGATCGCTTTCCCGCTTGCCGCAACTTCCAAATCATCACCTTCCTACAACGCCCTAGCCCAACAGACTTCAAACTCCCAAACATTGATGCCTATGAAGGGGTAACTGACCCATACAACATCGTCGACCATTATCGAACAATTATGCACATTCACCGTGCTTCTGATGTGCTTTTCTATCAAGTGTTCCCTGTGACTCTCAAGGGTCAAGTTTGCACATGATTTTACTTCCTCCGCGGGGTGGGGGGCACCATCAGCACCTTCAATGAGTTTGTCATATTATTAATACTAAATAGAAGGATCATCAAAGATTCATCTCATTTATTTGAAGTCCGTCATAATGAGGGGGAAACCCTCAAAGAATACTTCCCCAGGTTCTTCACTGAAGCTCGCTAGATTCCGGGAGTGGATCTAGAGTTATCGAGAGGAGTCTTTCATGGAGGGCTCCACCTAGGACATTTTTTACTCATCATTGATGCAGAAGGCGGTTCGCTCTTACACCAATCTTTTCCATTTCGTCGAAGCTCAAATCTCGGCAAATGAGGTCATTAGTGCATACAAGGAACAATTCGAGCAATTGAGGGGCAAGCACAAGAATTACGTTGGGGATACCGATCAAATCTCACAGCAAAAAAGTTCGGAACGCAGGGGAATCTCTATGGGTCGTCCAATCAGAGTGGTTCAAATTTCATTATTAATTACAACGATAACTCTATAAATAGAGCCCCAACCCTCTCATGAGGAGAGAGAGAGTTTGAAGCTTGGAGGAGGGGGTGGGAGCTTGAGACTTGAGGAAAAACTTGAAGTTTTGAGGAGTTGAAGTCCAACATCACTTCTGTCACTGTTAATCACTGTCGACCACCTTCCACCATCGTCGACTGCTGTCGACCATCACTTGTTGGCCGCCATCGATTACTATCGGTTGCCGCCCATTCCTTTCAACAATTTCATCCGCGTGTCGATGTTGTAATTTAGAAGATTTTGTAACCCTTTCTCGACAGTGGGATAAGGAGTTTATGTAATCATGAACTTATAGTTGTTCTTTATGACCGGGCCAGACCCCGCGGGTTTTCCCTTTACGGGTTTTCAACCTAATAATTTCTTGTGTCACTAGAAGTTGTCTTCTTTCTTCTGAGTATGTGTTGAATATTCGTACCACGCTAAGACGATAATGTATCACTTTACTGTCGCAAATTTTCTAGGACACTTGAATTGAATGAGATGAGCACGAATGATATGAGCTGTATAGACTACATGTATGTGTATGATTGGTTGTGATAGATTGTACTCTCTTATGATACTAGCTATGAGACGCTAAGGTGCTCATGAATGATATGAGTTGTATAGACTATATGTATGTGTATGATTGATTGTGATGGATTTTACTTTCTTATGATACTAGCTATGATCAAAAGGATTCATGTCATGATTTTCCTATTTCTGTTGGTTTACATCAGGGATCGACTTTAAGCCCATATCTTTTTGCTTTAATTATGGATGGTCTTACTGGACATCTACAAGAGGATGTACCTTGGTGTATGCTTTTTGCTGCAGTATATGGTTCTTTTGCTGCCATTAGTTATCTCATGTTCGGTGAAAGTACGCTATCACAGATAACCTTAAATTTGCCAAAGGATGCCGTGGCATCGAAGATTGCCCTGTGGACTACTGTGGGTATCTTTCTCTTGTTCTCTTTTCTATGTTTATTGATTACTCTTTTTCTCTTTTGTGATTTTTGCTATTTGATTAACCTTTTACCAGGTAATAAATCCTCTCACCAAGTATCCTTTTCTGTCTGGGAATTTGTAGCTCTTGTGGAATATGTGCATGTTATTTTCTCTTCTTTCATCCATTTCTGGAATATATGCAGAATATACGCAGAGCAATTTTAACTCTTACATAAATTATCATTTTGCTTGCACTTGTTTTGTTCTGAACCATAGTAGATTTGCACTGTTGCTTAATCCACTGGCAAGGAGTATCGAGGAGCTTCTTCCATCAGGAATCTTCAATAGTATTTGGTGCCCTGTACTATTGAGGACAGCACTTGTCGCTTCAACCGTATGCATTGCTTTTCTTCTACCTTTTTTCGGTATGTTTTTTATTTAATATATATGAAGCTCTTTATTTTGTAATATAAATGCTTTTACTCATTTTACTCGAAATGATTCTTTTGCGGAAATGACATTTTGCTTTGTTTGTCATAATAATGAGCTCTCTTAAAAAGTAGAACCTGTCTTACATAGAGAATCATGAATGCATTTCTTAGATTATGATGATAAGAAATTGTCAGAAAGTATATATTTTTTTTTCAAAATTAGTGCTGATTGGGGTGGCACCATTGCAAGTTGATGGAGATTTGTGTGCTTTTATGTAATTGAGAATGTCCATTATTAATTGACATCATTATTTTATTTTGTTTTGTAATTTCAAATGTAAGTTTTTTTAAATGTGTATGAGGACGCGACAAGGGAGTTGCTCGTGCCCGCAAAATGGTGGGAGCAAAATTCCTCCGATACACAGAATTTTGCATTGTGGAATCGGTGATCCGATCACGGGTCGTTCGTGGTTCGCAGATTCAAAAGTTTTTTTGGAACCTAAGCTCGGCAAACCGCAACCGCTTTGTCGGCACTAAAGAGTTAGGGGGGAGTTGCCCGTAAGAAGCTGTCGGTCACCATAATTTAAATCCCGTTCCCCGCTTCGGAAGGACATTTAATTTACATATATATGTATAATTTTAGAAAAATATGAAATCAAACTGACCTCATATTTCTCACAGTTTAAATGAAAGAGCGCTCTACCTCAAATCTTGTATCTATCCCAAGGGATAAACACAATACTTGAGGATGAGACTCGATCAAATAAACTAAGAAATATATGACATCCGTTTGGTCTGCGAAACCGTTTTATTTGCCGACAAGTTCCCTTATTTAATACAAATAATTAAATAGGGTTTATTTTAGGCTGGGTTCGGAAAAACTTCATATAAGGGCAAACCCCTATAGTTAATTACATCTTCAATGACCGAAGTCACTTAAGAAAACTCTCGATAAAAATCAGAGAATACTATCTTCAAAGAAGTTAAAAAGATAAGACTTTTCAACAAAATCGGACTAAAGAGTGTGAAATGGGAAAAACTCAAATTCAAAACATTCTTGAGGAATCCAAATGAGGGAGAACTAGGGGAGGTCATAAATCCAGAGACGAACCTCGATAACATACCAATCTATCCTATGATTTGACTTCAGTTTCGAGAAAAAATATTTATGTGTTTCATCTTGCCAATTTTATTTGTTAGGGCTTTCATTCGTGTTAAACGATCACATAAATAGTCTGGAAGATATGAGAATTTAGGTCATTACGAACGACAACCTCAGAATCCTAAAACGAGTTAGGGCTTAAATCGTACAACAGTGCTATATGAATGCCTAAAGGAAAGGTAGAGGATTTATGTTGTGCTAGACAAACAACCTTAAAATCCTATGGATTGTTGTTTTAATTTCTAGGAAAGGAATGATTTAACTGGGGAAGGCATGTACTGCTGTTGAAGATGGTCGTGCTGCCCACCGCGCTAGCTCTAAGCCCCTCGTCCTGACGAGTTTAAGTTTTATAGGGTGACAGGTTATGATGTCAAATCAAGTGGCCCTATGGTTGTAGTCCTTCAGATATTTTATAAATAACATGTTGAAGTTGTACAGTGTAAAGCGTAACAGTAGAGTATGTAGCACATGACAAATTGCATGTAGAACGATAGCAGGTAGAAACAAGAATAGTGTAACATGCTGTACAGTACAGTAGCAGGTAAAAACAAAAATAATTAACATGCTGTACAGGAAGAACAGCAGCAGGTAGAAACATAAACAGTATAACATGCTGTACAGGACAATAGTAAATATAAACAGTGAAATGAAGTGCTGTAAATGTAAAACAAATCTGTACGCCCGTGAGATCTGCTGTTTCTTAAATATAACAAGCTGGAATGCATCGCAAAAAGCGAAGTCTGGAAGAAACTTCATCCTGAAAACCTGAAGAAGAGTGTAACAACGACTCATGACAGAAAACTCGAGAAAATAAACGAGAAAAAGACTCAAGTAAAAATCCTCAAAAATCCTGGAGAAATCCCAAAAGAAAAAGAAAGAAACACGAGTGCCCTGTCCCAAAGCTTCGATAAAATAAAAAAAGTTCAGGTAAGGGGGACCGCAAGCACTCATGTGAGGCTAGACTCAGATATATATACATACTCGAGGGTCCACGAAGGCTATTCGGTCACCCGAATGTATAGAATCCGCCACTCGTCTAGAAGTGTGTCTTGAACCTCACATAGAGGGCTATTTCCTAGCTTAAACAAGTATTCGTCGGATGGACAATCAATTTTAAAACGTATTTTAAAATCTATGATTTTGACATGCACATAGGTCTCAAAAAAAGATTATTAAATTTTATTTTTATACTGAAAAAATATATTTTTAATTTTTAAATAAGTTTTTAATAATTTTTATTGTCCACAAGTCGATTACGCTGTCGGGCGTGGGACCGCCAACCACCTTAGGCGGTTCGAGCCAACTCCCGCTAGACTTACGGCGGTAAAGGATATCATATCCTATTATTCATCAAATGTCTGGATCTTGATGTTATAGGATATGACATCTTTTTGCTCTAACTTCAGTGTGCCTTTATCATCAACACCGTACGCCCCAAAACGACTGCTTGCGACCTTGCTTGATGGTTTCACGTATA